AGCCCTGCCAATCAAAATGCATTAATGAAGAGTATTTTTTTCCAGGATAGGAAAAAAGATAAGCAGTGGGAACACATAAGGGGATTATATGGAAAAGATGATATCATTGTAATAATCCTTCATACAAGGCAGGGTGGATGAACCAAAATTGTCTTGGAGATAACAGTTGTAGGATACAATTCTTCCTGCTTAAAGTATGATTTGTAGAATAGTTGCCTTCAGTGGTAGGTAGACTTACTCACATTTCCTTCACTCCAGTTCATGCAATAAGTCATGTTTACCACAGGTAAGCCCAAAATGGATTCAAGATCAGGACAAGAATGGAATGAAAAATTAATTGCTTGAAGTAGAATTTAATGCTGATTTTTCTTTTCCTTTTTGTGTAATTTTTTTTTCTTTAAATGTTAAAGGAACTCATATGTACATGACATATGGTCATCTCTACTTCTAGTTCCTTATCTAATCAAATACCATTAACACAATCATGTCATGTACTGGAAGTTTTTTCAAATTTGTTACATCTCTAGTGTGAAAAATATAACAGCCAAGCTTTTGGGGGCCATCCTGATGAATCCAGTAAACCTTCAAAAAGGACTTTTTGTTGGATTAAATGAATTTTTAAATTACAGGAAGCATACATAACAGTTCTTAAAGCCTGCTGTCACTGATTTTACAATAAAGGCTATTCCAATACTATTCAATATTTCATTTTTATTCTTTTTTTTAATTAATAATTACTATTAATAGTAGTAAATATAGTTTGGTCTCTTTAAAAACCTTCTACAATGTATCTAGAGCTTCCACAGTTTTAGAAGCTGCTCATTAACGCATTTTGCAAAATCTGAAATTAGTGAATGATTTAGCGTGTGTGTGTGTCTGTGTGTGTGTGTGTGTGATATATATATATCCATCCATCCAATTGTATTGGTTTATTCTTTTTTGTAATGTTTCAAATGTTTTAAATATACCATTATTTACTGTCTGATGTAATATTAATTCCATTCTGAATCCAGATTCTCCAAATCAAAGTTCTCCCAGCTATTTTTAAACAAAGATTACTTTACAACATCACATTGAACATAGTCTTGATTGTGTGGGTAGCTTTTTACTATTGCACTATTAAAAGATGAATAAATGTGATAGTCTAAGATACTTGTACAGGATAGTATTGACCACAGATAGTATTGCATTATGGAAATGTACCTCATTGATCCAACCATACAGACACTCCAAGCCAGTGGCAATATTTGGCAGAGAGAGACAACATGGTGCACAGCTTTTTGGTATGCCTTCTGTGTCAAAGGGCCTCTTTCTTGCAATAAATCCTGGGACCTCACTTCTCCCATATGTTTTTATTTATTGGTTTGTTTGTTTCTCAAATTTATTTGCCACCCATCTCACTGTGGGGCTACTCTGGGTGACTTAACAATAGTAAAACAGAAAAAATGATAAAACAAAATTGAAACATGACAATAGCAAAGCAAGGAAACAATAAAACAGTAAAATACAATAATAAGCAAAAAGTAGGGCAGAAGGGGAGCAGAAAGCACAGGAGGGAGGTGGGGTCAGTTAATTAGTCCAGTAGCCATCTCCCTATTGGGTCCCCAGACCAACCAGCAGAGCCAATCTTGAGACCCTTACAGAAGGATAAAGGATGGGGTCAGACCTCACCCCAGGGGACAGGATGTTCTGGAGGGCTACAGCAGAGAAGGCTTTTCTTCTGAATTCCTCTCCAGGATTTCCTTGACCAATGGGATCCACAGCAGGCACCCTCTGTCGGCACGAATAGGGCAAACTTGTCTTAGCACAGGGATGAGGAACTATAGCTCTTTTATGACTTGTGGACTTCAACTCCCAGAATTCCTGAGCCATTAGTGTGTGATGAATCATAATGTGCTGCCTGACTTCCGACAGTTCAAGTGCTATATAAATTACTATTATATGCTATATTATATTAATTATATATATTATTATATATTATTACATATTAAGGTTGAGCAGAATGGTGGCCTGGTGGTGAAGATGCTCGCCTTCCACTCAGAAGGTCAAGAGCGCAATCCTAGGTAACGGCAGATGTTTCTCCTAGGGTGCAACGGAAAAAAAAACTGTGAACTCTCTGCGTGGCGTCAGGAAGGGCATCCAGCCAGTAAATGCTCAGTTCCATCCAGTCACCCTGACTCTACCTCAAATTAAGAGATTACAGAGTTGTAAAAAGGGAGCCTTATTACAAGTTAAGGTTCTGGTTCAGGAATTCTGGGAGTTAAAGTCCACAAGTCATAAAAGGGTCCTAGTTCCCCACCTCGGACTTAGCAGGACAAGACAGCTCATCAAATAACCTGGATCTGTGCCACGGAGGGCTTTGATTTTTAATTTAATTTAATTTTTTTGCCAGGTTTTCACAAAGTAGCAAATGAGATCAGATTAGTCAACCTCTTCCTATTATTTCATATGAAAACTCAATTTACAATCACAACGAATTACGACAGAAATTCTGGTCCGAATTGTGGCCCATAACATAAGGCGAGGACTACCTATAGGTCCTTTGATAAGCAGCTGTTTTGTTTGAGTGAGCAGAAAACTGTGGTGGGTTTTTGAAGGGTTGTCGTGTCGTTCTTCTCAACTAGAGAAGCAGTTGCCTAGTTCCTGGAGTTAAGCTGACGACTCTCCCCTGTGTGTGATGCCCAGAAACTATAATGAAGAACCATCGTTCTTCAAGTGGTCATCTGTGCATTCACAGCTCCTCCCCTATGTTCCTTTCTTTAGATGCTTACTCATCAGTCTTGGGGAGCTGGGGGGAATGTTGGAACCCCATCTTGATGCATGTGCAGAGGGCCAGGCTTCCTTCCAAAAGTCTTTGCTGTAGAAGAAGAATCACAGTTAGAGGTAAGAAAACCTGTTCTTGTAGCACCAATGGAGAAAAGCAACAGTGGTGCTTTTATGAACTCAGGCAGCTGCCACTAAAAATGTCCTGGAAGTAATGTAGCCTTGCTCAGGAAGAGAGTTGGTCATTGTAAGGAATGTGCTGCCCCTTTGTCACAAGAGAGCCACAGAGAGATGGGTGGAGAAAGGTGGGGCTTTATTTGGTTGTATAAGACATTTTGTTTCTCTCGCTTTTCCATCTACTTGTTTGGAACCAAATTAACTGAGAGAGGTAAAAGCGATTGATGCCATATACCCTCCCTCAAGGTTTTTCTCAAGTTTCCTCCTAAATAGTATCCCTCGTGGTGTTAAGATGCAATATACGTAGCGCCTGTCTTAGTTCCTTAACCATTTTGGATGAAACCTGGCTATTGTGAGCAGATATCCATCCTTGACATTACTGTCCATATCACCTTGCCATTCACCACAGCCACAGTGTTCAGTTTTATCTAGCAAACACAGTTAACAAAAGATTCTGAACATTTTTTTTTTAATTTGATTTATATGCCACCCTTCTCTGGAGACTCAGGGCGGCTTACAATGCGTTAAGCAATAGCCTTCATACTTTTGTCTATTTATACAAAATCAGCTTATTGCCCCCACAAATTGGGTCCTCAATTTACCTACCTTAGAAAGGATGGAAGGCTGAGTCAACCTTGAGCCTGGTGAGATTCGAACTTACAGTAATTGCAGACAGCTGGTGTTAATCACAATGCTATCAGTCTGCTGAGCCACCAGGCTCTCCCATATGTTTAAGAAGGAGCTCTTCCTTGACCATTTCATTAAGTGCCACGGCATGCAACAAAAGAGCATCAGAGAGGACCCTGGCATTGTTATCAGCAGTAGCCGGTAGTCTACTACAGGGGTCCCAACCCCTGGGCCACAGCCCACTAGTGGGCCGCAGCCTGTTTGGAAGTTGGCCACATAAGCAGTGTGCCACTTGCACAAGTGGCAGGCAGGTGCCTACCGCTCACATGGAACCATCTCCCCTCACCCCGCCGGGCTGCCAAGCAGGTAAGGTTGGGGACCACTGGTCTATTAATACAGGTAGTTCTTGATTTACAACCTTTTGTTTAATGACAGTTCAAAATTACAACTTCTTCCTCTGAAAAAGTCATGACCAAAATTCAGATTTAATGGTCATCATATTGTTCTCCCCACCCCCCAATAGTCATATGATCACAGTTCAGGTGCTTAGCAATAGGCTAACATTTATGTCAGGTTGCAGCATCCTGTGGTCACATGATTGTAATTTGCAACTTTCTGGCAAAAAAAGCAAAAAAAAAAAAAAAAAACCAGCAAAAAATGCAATTAGGAAAGCTGGATTTGCTTAACGACTTGAAAATTTGTCCAGATTAATACTTTCGGACATTATACTTATAAGAAACCCTCTGTTTTCAATAAGAACTCTTCTGCTTAAATTGCTTATTAAACTACATACAAGACCCTAGTTCCCTATCAATTAGCATATAGGCTTAACAGCATTTTTATATGTTTAACTGAAGTGTTGTTGTTTTTTTAAAAAAAGAAGGAAATGTATGATAGTTTATTATGGGGAATGTTTTGATGCTGTATGTGAGCCTAAGTAACCACAAATTGTTGGCTGTCATCTGCTTCTGCAGAGGAAATGCTAGCAGCATATTGTACTGCAATAGTATATCGTATTTGTTTCTCATATAGTAAATCCTAGAATTTCCAGTAAAAGTATAGATATATATAATTCCTCTATTTTTCTTAACAGATGGATTGAGCCTACATCCTGAGTGTCTGTCAATACGTTTTATGTATCTCCAAATTACAATCTGTGGGCAACATATTATTGCTTATGCCACCTTTATTACTTTAGAAGTAATTCAAGGTGGAGAAAATACTTATTACTCCTTCCTCCCCCCGTTTTCTCCCTGTGAGATAGTTTGGACTCAGAGAGAGTGACAGATCCAAGGTCCTTCAGCTGGCTTTCGTTCCTAAAGTGGGACTAAAACTCAGGCTCCTAATTTCTAGGCCAGCACCTTAACATGTAATCATACGCCTTTTAACAATCCTGTAATCACTTAATTCAGGGTAGAGTCGGAGCGACTAGATGGAGCTAAGCATTTACTGGCCAGATGTCCTTCCTGATGCTACGCACAGAGTTCGCAGCAGATATTTTTTCTTTGCACCCTAGGAGAAAGAAACACCACTCTGCTCAACCTTAATAAATATAATTATATGTAATATAATTAATATAATATAGCATGTAATAGTAATTTATATAGCACCTGAATTGTTGGAAGTCGGGCAGCACATTACAGTTCATCACACAGTCAGCTAGATGCTTAGACCAGATTTGGCCTTTTGATCCACCTATCAAGTTTTTCCCAAGGACCTGGGATAGATAAATGTTATTATTTGTTGTGTTAAAGTATCACCACAGGATGCAAACTGTCCCAAGTGAAGCTGTCTTTTGCAAATGACTGATGGTGATTTTGCCAATGCTCATGGTGTTCATTACTACTATGTACACAACAGTGTGAAATCACAGCTGTTAATTCTTTAGCTGATGTTGGCGTTCACATGCATTGAGGTTTTTTTTTTAATTTGATTTATATGCCGCCCTTCTCTGGAGACTCAGGGCGGCTTACAATGCGTTAAGCAATAGCCGTCATACTTTTTGTATATTTATACAAAGTCAGCTTATTGCCCCCACAAACTGGGTCCTCAATTTACCTACCTTAGAAAGGATGGAAGGCTGAGTCAACCTTGAGCCTGGTGAGATTCGAACATGCAGTAATTGCAGACAGCTGGTGTTAATCACAATGCTATCAGTCTGCTGAGCCACCAGGCCCCTGGTGTAAGATGTTGTAAGATATCGGCATAGCATATGTGTGAATCCAAGCAGTGTGGCCTTTTGTAATTGAGAAGTGAAGAATGCCATCCAAGATTTCATGATATGGCACCCAGCGTGCCAATAACCATTAGGACCATCATGGCCGGTTTAGGCCAACATCTTTCCACTTTGATTTTCAGACCTCGATATTATTATTGTGTATCTTGGTACAATGACTAATAAAGATTGAAAAACAAATGGAAAAAAATTAAGATACATAAACACAGGTAGAAAGATACTGGGTAGTATGTGTCCTTTTGCCAGGAGTGAATATTTGTTAAAAGTAGTGAAAATGAATGCAGGGGTATGGAGTGCTTAATAAGCATGTATAATAAAAGAAGAGATAAGTTCAAAAATGAATGGATTAAATACAAAAGTGAGGGACAATGTAGAAGAGGAGCAGTATGAAGAGACAGGTTGCTTGAAGAGAGAGAATGGATGTGGATTCACAACTTATGAATGGGTTGAGAAGAAGGAAAAGCCCAAAAGTAATTGTATAGAGTTTATGGGATCCTGAGAAACAATAAGGTGTGATGATTTCAGAACAAAAGGTAATGTATGAAGCAGCAAATTGTGGTGGAAGCAAGAATAGAAAGGTATGAAAAAATACCATGAACTATAATTCATATAAATTAGTTCTAACTATTTGTCATTTTATTTTCTCTTCTTCTAATATTTTTAAAAATTTTATTTGGCTTGCTGCTTCTTACTCCCTTTCTGCACTTCGCATATCACTGCTTCTCCTGAACGGGTCTAGCTTTAAGACCATCTATGAATGGAACTGAGCCAGCAGCTCACTATTGAGAATGTGTCTATTTATTCTAACACTCTTCAGCTGGTCCAGCAAACCTTCTAAAGACTCAACACTTGTCCTTCCAACAGAATGTAGCAAAAGAAATTTAAACGTCCTCATAGTTACCTTTTCTGTCTCCTCACCGATGTGAAGCCCAGCCTTTATATTCAATACACTGGTGGGCATTTCTCTTCATTCTTGGATTTCACTTCTGGCTCAGATTTTGGGATGACAATACAGGGTGGCTTAATCAAGCTCAGCGCTTTCCATTTATATTGGAGGAGCTTGCTGGTGTCTACTTTGGCTCTCTTATTTCTGATGATTAGAAAAACAAACCCACCATGGGGCAATTAGGCACGCTATATCAGAGCTGCACCATGGGTTTGAGAGCTTTGAGCAACCCACCTGCCAAATGGCCCCTGTCCTGCTTGTTTTAGGAAAGGAAGTAAGGTGGAGGACTGCCACTCTAATATGTAACCTCTGCCAAAAAATGCAAATGAAGTTGTGGTCAGCCAAGCTTATTTTCTCTGGGTTATTACTTTGGCTGCCCTAGACTTTGCCTTTCTCAGATTGTCCTATTGGTATAAATTAAACCCTCCTCCCCAATCCTCTAATTCATTTTATGTATTATTAAAATGGCACTTTTTTGGGGAATCGTATAAGTTTTAGCAAAGTCTGTTAAACACACTTTCTTTGGAGGGCTGAAAATATCCTGACACCAAACTGTAGGCATCAATGTGGAAGGGGATGCTTACTAATTATAGACTAGGTCAACGGAGAAAGAATTTCCTGGCTCTCTTGTAGTGTTGGGATCATGGGATTCCTAAGCAGAGGACACAATTGATGTCACTGCTGTTTTGATGCTATAATTCAGCCAAACTCTTGGCTCTGTTCCATAATCTATCTGACTTCTCCCATGACTTGCCTTTTTTTTTTAATTAAAGTTTTATTACACACATATTAAAACATTGGACACGGTGTAACTGTCCTGGCATTCTTTTTGCCATGCATACTAAAATGAAAGATAAGTATCATATATACCTTATTACTTATATACAATTAGTCTGTTCAGTATTTACATATCTAAAGACATCCTTCTTCTATCTATATTACTTATACATTTGTTTTATCCATTATCATTCTATTGTAGTTATATAACTTTAATTCTCCATTTTATGAATTCTAGTCAGTTCTTGTTTTTTGACCCTCTTTTCTGTTCCAACCATTGATACAATTTGTTCCATATCTTGTGGTATTCTGACTCGCCTTCATTTTTCAATTCCAAGGTTAATTTTTCCATGTCAAAAAAATTTTGATCACTACTTCTTGTAGAGGAGTTTCCTTATTTTTCCAATTTTGGGCAAAACTCAATTTTTGTTGCTGTTATAATATGTATTATTAAGTAAGTTACCCTTTTACTGTATTTCCATTTATAATTCTATAAATAAGGCTCAAAGAACCAAAAGAAGATAGAGCAACAAGAAGCACAAGAATGAGATATAGATATAGAAATGCAGGGAGAGCTAAAAATCTTATCTCTCAATATTAATGGATTAAACTCACCCGTGAAAAGAAGGAAAACATTCAATAAACTAAAGAAATTAAATTTGGATATAATAGCAATACAGGAAGTTCATATAGAAGACAAACAAAAACAATTGTTGGAACACCCCAAACTAGGGAACATATTTGCCTCATTAGCACAAAAAGAAAAAAGAAAAAAAAGAGGAGTAGTGCTATACATTAAAAAGGTGATTTTGGCTAAGCAAATCTACAAAGATGAAGAAGGCAGGATTTTGATTGTAGAGACAGAAACAAATAAAAAAAAAGTTTTACTAGTAGAAATCTATGCCCCAAATGGAGGACAAGAGAAATTTTATAGGAAATTACATAATATCATTCGTGATATAACATATGATAACATCTGTATTTTATGAGATTACAATGCAATAACTGACAAAAAATTAGATTATAAAAGTAATAAGATGAGGAAAGGAATAAGAAGAACCTTAGCCAAAACTTTCTTTAAAATGGTGGAGGAATTGAACATAAAAGATATTTGGAGACAGAGACATCAGGACATAAACTAATATACATACTACCGTGTTTCCCTGAAAATAAGACCCTGTCTTATATTTTTTTGAACCCTGAAATAAGCACTTGGCCTTATTGCCATGCACTCAAAAGCCTGATTGGGCTTATTATCAGGGGATGTCTTATTTTGGGGGAAAACTGGGTATTCGAATAGACACAGATCATGGTCCAGAATTGATATGGTTTGGATGTCAATGAAAATACAATCAGATGTGAAAGAAGTCAAAATTGACACAAATCTTTGGGCGGACCATAATCTTATGAAAATTAGCCTGATAGGAGAAAAGAGGGAAACAAGATGAGCACTAAAAAGATTGATTTTAAAGGATGAAGAATTTAAATTAATGATGCCCAAAAAATTAAGCTGCTTCTTTAAAGAAAATAAAAAAGAAGATACATCCATACAAAACTTATGGGACATAGCTAAGGCATTCATGAGGGGAGTTACCATATCTTATATGGCAAAATAAAATAAAATAAAAAAGCAAAGATGGAATTGCCTGGAAGATGAATACAAAAGATTGGAGGAGATATTATGAGAGGAGCTGCAAAAGAGAAACAAAAAACAACAAAAGGACTTAATTAAACATAAATTGAATCTACTTGAGAAAAAAGATCTGGCACAAGAGATAAAAAGGACAAACCAACTTTTTTTTGAAAATGCCAACAAACTGGGTAGATGGTTAGCATATAAACTAAAAAAACAGACCGAAGAGAGATGGATCAATAAATTACAAGATGAAGAGGGGAACATACTCTTATCAAAATGAGGGGGGGGAACATAGTTCAGGAGTTCTATAAGAAATTGTATAAAAAGACTGACTGCCACACAGAAGAGAGAATATTACAATGTCTTGAGAAAGCGGATCTACCAAAAATCCCGGAAGAAATTAAAAATATGCTAAATGAAGAAATAAAGATGTCAGAATTAATGGAGGCAGTCCAAAAACAAAAAAATAATAAGACACCAAGCCCTGATAGTCTACCAATAGAATTATATAAAGAAATTCAAGATAGCCTAGGATAAGTCTTCCTTGAAGTATACAATGTAGTGTTAGGAGAGGCGAAGATACCGTCATCATGGGTAGAGGCAAATATTGTGCTGATACCAAAGGAGAATTCAGATAGGACGCTAATTAAAAATTATAGGCCCATATCTCTTCTAAATACAGATTACAAGATATTCACATCAGTAATAGCCAATGGTCTAAAAAAGTTCCTAAATGAGTTCATTCATATCGACCAGAAAGGCTTTTTACCAAAAAGACAAATGAAAAATAATATAAGAATAATACTAAATATTTTAGAATATTATGAGATACATAATGGTACACAGGTAATACTGTTATTTTTAAACGCCCAGAAAGCATTCAATAACGTTAATTGGGAATTTATGGCACAACAATTAAAATATATGGAATTTGGCGAGAAATTTTTAAACATGTTTTCGGCGATATATTCTAAGCAAGATACTTGCCTTTTTGTTACCATATCCAAGATCCAAAAGACATGTTGAGAAGGTAGATGAGCATCGTGATGAACAGTGAACTTCAACTCTGGAAGCCTAGATTTTAACTGAATCATGGGATTTACTGGTTTTTCTTGCCTGCCTTACCTCAGAGATCAATTTTAGGAAAAATAGAAAAAGAAATCTTTCTGATATTTGAATGTGTTTTAAAGCAAATTCTTTTCCAATATAAGCCGTATCTGCTCTCTTTTTTCTCTGATAATACTTCATCTGATTAATTATACTATTAGTTCATTGTTATGACCTATTCTTATATTTTATTCAGAAGGGTGTTTTACTTTCATTCTTTCCTATAAAATAAAAGTACAGTATTTATTTGCCTTAAATTCACTAAAGCTTTTAAAAAGCTGCTCATTTTCTTCAGTATATCCAGAATGAAGGAAATGTTTACAAGGGGAAGGGTTTCAAGGAGACTGGCCCAGACTGAAGTCTTTTGAGACTAATCTGAAATTCACATATGAAGATACTAAACAGAAACCTGTTTTCATACATCTTTGCTCCTGTTGCAAAGCAGAGCAAGCACTTGTGAGTTTTAAAGAGAGAGTTGTTGGTCCAGGATCTTTGCCTGAAGTGCTCTTGGAGATAAGATTCATCACTTGAGAGCAAAGTGAGGTTGGGTGCCTTATGGATTGTTAGAAATGCTTTAGTGTGGGCTGTGGTATAATTTCAGAAATGTAGAAAATGCCATTCCAAATTAAAATAGAAATGGTTCTTTCATGACTCATAAAATGTAATGCACAGGATGCTATTGTGCGTATGTAAAAAGAGGCCCGTGGTGCAATTTTGTACTGGACCTCTAAATGATACTTGAACTCTTGACTATAAACACCTAAATAGCAACGACATACAAAGCATGAGCATATATAAGAAGATTTAAAAGAAACAGTAAAGAATTGGAAAATCTTCAGAACTGAAAGAACATTAACAGCTGCAGGCGTTAAGTAGATTAGTTAGATAAAATAATTTTGTCTCTTTCTAAAGGCACTAAAGTAGATCTTAGGACGGTGCAGAGATAATTTGGAAAAGATAATTGGGTGGTTGGAGGAGGGTAAACATAGCAATTGTTCCTAGAAATCATGTGACTGTTTTGCACCTACCTTATGATCCTAGTTGCTTTCAAGAGTTGCAGCCATGTGCTTAATTCACAACTCCATTGAATGGTACTAGTAGATGCTACTTTCCCAGATTTTTCTGATAAAAGCATTTGGAGTGGTTGCACAGTGGTTGGAATACAGTATTGCAGCTAACACTGCCCATAAACAGGAGTTCGATCCTGACCCACTCAAGGTTGACTCAGCCTTCCATCTTTCTGAGGTCAGTAAAATGAGGACCCAGATTGTTTGGGGCAATATGCTGACTGCCAACTGCTTAGGAAGTGCTGGAAAAACACTATGGAGCGGTATATAAGTGCTATTGCTTGTTGGCATGCTGCATTGAAATACTGCTTTCTTTTCTCTCTGCCTGTCTTAGATCTTTTGCTGGGAGCACATATTTTGTGTTAGAAAACTGAAGCATTTTGTGTGGACCTCCCATTAAGTCCACGTTCACTTAGTTTCAATACTTTTGCTCTCAGATTCATAACAAGGCCAATTGCAATTTGTTCTATTCTGGGTTCTTCGATTTATAAACTCACTTTTAAACAGGGATTTTACATATTCTGATT